CAGCTCTGAACTGCTCCGTACCGTGGCTCGATGCCGCTAACGTGGAGCATTTTGGTTATTCCGGACGACGTTCTGCGTTCGATCTCCGCACATAATAATTTCTCCTATGTAGTAACATAAAGTTCTATTCTAAGATATGATTCATTTTATATCCAAGATTCATATCATTTAGGCTTTGTTTGTGACGGCTTTCTTATTGCTTTGTAAATTTACTTTTCAACACAAAAATTTCTTGAAAGTATTAAAAAAAAATAATAATGGTCTAAAGCTGTCTTAAACGAAACCTTAATGATGATTGGTGAAGCTCAAATCCAATGAATAAAATATAAAATTTTACTTTTTTGACATATTAGTTATTAAATAAATAATTGTATGGCATCAATCTAAACATAATATTATTTAAGGCATTTAGAATTATTTTTTTTTATAATATTAAGTGCATAGTGAGAGTCACATTTCTATCAGTGTAGACATTCGGCATCTAAAAAAGATGAGAAAGAACAAACAGAAAAAAATGATGGTTGATGAAGACATGAACACATCAAGAAATGAAAGCAATATATAACTTCTCATAATTAAAGCACCAAAAATTCTTCAGGAAAAGAACAAACTTTTTTTTTCATAGATTCCTTTTGGCCCCACACTTTTCATCTATTTTCACTTTGAATTTTTATTTTATTTTATTTTATTTTTCTCTGATCTACCTTTTTCCCAACAGTGCTTTTGGTTTTGTATTTGTTCTTTTGCTCCTTCAACAGTTGAAATCTTTGTTGGGATGCATTTGGCGATCCTCTTTTTAGCTTCTTGTCTAGTTCTCTTTTGCCTCCTCAATGATCGTAAAATAAAATAAAATAAACAAAATATCAAAATTTTTGTATGTTGAGGTCCCGCAATTCCCGCTCCAACAACCTTTATTGAATTACGATTCAGCTTAAAATGTGACATCGATCACTTTCTTTAACAAGCATTCTGAAAAAATAAGAGATCTAAATTACGCTGAAGATAGATTTTAAGGACATTTTTTTAATTTTCAGTATTATATATAAGTGAAATTGTTATGTGCGGTTCGGAGGCGATTCAGAACGCGCCACATCACCTATTTGTTGTGTACCGTGGTTGTGTACTGGGAGACATGGCGCATATTTTGATTCGCCTCCGAATAGTCCGGTGTCCGCACATAATAATTTCTCTATATATAGACCATAATGTCAAGATTTCCATAGAAAATCATAACCAAATATTCTTTGAACTTTATATAGTTTTAATATTATTTATAAAAATAAAGTCTACTCAAAACTCTCATAATAAAAATTCATTTTTAGCTAGATGAAGGCAAAATTTAAAAATGAAAAACTACTAACATTTAACTTTCATCAATAAATAATAAATAAAAAATAAAGAATTTATCTCCAATGTTTAAATCCCTTGCCTCAAATCAAATTAACATTAAATAAAATTTCTTTTCTTTTTTTATTTTAAATTTAATTAAAATAAATTTTAGATAATACTTTACTAAAGTGCATTTGCTTTGTTTTTTTAAATGAAAATGCATTTATAAATCAATTTGATTTTAACAATTATGCCAATTTTAAATTCATTGAGGCCCAAAACCTCTATTTTAAGTATTATTGTTCTCAAATAATTGGTATAAAGTTATTGACAATTTTATGAATAAAAATTTTAAGCTTATTGATAATTGTTAAAACCATTTAATTATTGATCATTATATATATTTACGCAAAGAAACAACTTGTTCTGTACGTGATCTTTAGTATCATGATAAGTATGCTATAAAAAATTAAGATAACGTATAATTTTTAATAATGCATAAAAATAGGTAAAAGTTTTGTGAAAACTATAACTTATAATGGGTTGAATGGTCAACAAAAAATATTAATGGTGTTGGACAACGGTGGGAAATTAACTTTTATTATTATTATTATAGAAGGGGACATCAAGTAAAAAGAAAATGAGCTTTAAATGTTAGTTATTAACATGCATTAGGCAACGATCAATCAAGAATATTGAAAATTTGTTGATAGCTAACATTTGGCTTAGTTTTTCTCCCGATAGGAGGGGAGATCAAGCGATTAATACATCATATATAAAGTATTGATCATAAGCAGACAATACCAAATTACATGCAAAAAACTTGGTCATTCTCATTATATGAAGAGATTTAACGCTTGAGAAAACATAAATTCAACATTTGCATGCATAGGGCAATGATTGTCATAAAAAGTTGGGCAATGATGAAAAGGTTAATTTGATTGTTCTCCTAATATGACAAGAGATTGTGTGACGACGAAGATAAATATTGCACATTAAATTTGAGTCACTAATAACACTAAAGCTATGGTCCACGAAGAATGACAGAAGTCCAACAATGCTATAATATTAGCTTAGTTATTCTCTTAATAAAATGATAGATAGGATTATGGAAATAAAAAGAATGTTTGTGAATAATGAATATTAGCTTTGTAATCATTTAAGACTAGCGGTTAACGTAGTCGCAATTTTGATATAAGGCTAGAACAAGTAACTAGGAAGATGGATGTTAGTGACTAAAAAATATAAATCATTAGTAGTTGTTTGATGATGATGGTTGTCGATGTTAGTTGGTGATCGATATTATTCGAAATATGATGGAAAGTGTAATTTTGGCTGACGGTTGACATCATTGTATGAGGGATAATGATTAGTATCAAACAATAAATAATGATGACCACTAATGAGCATTTGACTACTAGAATTAGGCAATAGATGATAGCAAGCATTGATGTTGATAAGTGATTGATATAAGTTAGCAGGTATATGCAAATAAATTATTCATAATCATGATTTTTTTTAATCTTTTTATAAATTTATAGAAATATTTTATGTTTTGATATTTTATGAGTGAGAATTATGATGATTTTTATCGAAATATTGAACGCTCAATCAAATGATCCTTATATGACATTTTGTTGTTTCATATATTATTTGAATACTTAGGTGCCTTGGGGGTTTATTGTCATGATGTATTAAGAGTATAGAGTAAATCAAAATGAAGGATTTTTGAAATTTCAAGCATTCGATCATAAATAAAATAAAAGTTATTTATTGAAAAATTTTTAATCCCCCTCAATTCAACTTGATTTGCCCGGATTTGTCCCAAGTGAGTTTGCAAATTGTTGCATCGTTAAACTATCAAATTTGACCACTTGCTCACTCCCTTGCTTATATCATCTCCAACCAAAAAACTCATTTTCCACTCCAAAATGTAGTAATTCATATCCAATCGAACTCTATTTCTTAACACAAAAAAGAATATTCCATGTATATTCTTTCTCAACCAAAAATGCTAGCAATTCTCCAAAATGCATTTGTGAATAGTACGATGCCAATATTAATGTCAGATTGTTCACGAACGAGAGAACGACACGCCTTTTGTGAGACCTCGTTCCCTTACTGTTCCTCTCAGATTTGGATTTTTTCCTCTCAGGATCGTCCAGGACGATTGGAAATCGTCTAGGCCGATCTGCACTATAGAAAATATCGGCCTGAGAATAGTTCTGGGAATCGTCCAGGACGATTTTTCTGGTCTGATCGTCCCGGGACGATTTGGCGATCGGCCGGGCCGATCAGACAACTGATTTAAAGAAATCAGCTCGTTTTGATGAGAGAGAAAATAATTTTAAAAACAAAATATCTGTTTTAGAGAGAGAAAGAGAAAAGTTCCTGAGTATTGTACATGACTTTTGAGATATGAATCGACTTGTATATTGATGTTTTAAATTTCATAGATGCTTGATAGACTGTCTAATTGAAAGTTTTAGATAACTATGGTAAATTGTTTGAGTAATTGATTGACATTCTTTCCAAGTTTGATCTTGGGGCATCACACCTTTTGCCGTTCGATTGAAGATGCCCTTAATCATAGCTTGCCGCCAGTTCCTGTGACATTAACGATCTCATGACACCTCTACCCCCAAAGCCTATATTGTGAGACCCACACACAATGGCAACCATCACCATAATTTACATCCTTCCCCATAACATCGCTAACACTAAACAAGCTCAGTCCCTTCTCACAACACTTTGCAACCTCTGGCTCTTCACACGATATCCCTCTCTCATCAACCTTGGAAAGGCATCCTTGCTGAACTTGTGACCCCTCCAACATCGCTAGCATGTCTCTATTACAATGTCTTCGATTAGTTTAATTTAATTATTGTAATTTATATTTATCTTAATTCAACAGAAATGTAAAAAATGATTTCCTAAATTTATTTTACACTAAGAGGTTGTTTGGTTTCCTAAAAGACAAATGCAATGTCACAAAAATGCAATATAAATGGAATGCTTTGGAGTTGTTTGGATGATTGTAAAGAAATATATGAGATTACATTTTTATTTGGTTTGAAATAAATAAGTGTAATATAACATGCAAAAAAGATTGTGGTTGGTAGTCGATATTGACAGCGATGTGGCCAATGATAGTGGTCGGTATAGTTGATGGATGGCCGGCAGTGGTGGGTGGCCGACAGTAGTAGTGGTCCCTGGTGATGATGGTCAATGGTGGTGGCGACTGGTAGTGGCTGGTGATGACAGGCTGTGGCTGGTGAGCGGGCGGCTATGATTGTAATAAATTTATGATGTATTTATTTGACTTTAAGTCAAATAGTAGTATTTTTGAAACCCATGCAGGCAATCAAATAACCCTTAAATTAGATGACCATAATTATTTCAAATTTGATTTATTTGCTTCACTTTTTTTTTTAAAATACTCATAAATTCTAAATACTTTCAACCCTTTAATCACATTGAGATTAAGCACATTTATGCTCATTAGATGAAGTCTTTGTTCTCCTAATAGTAAAAAAAAAAAAAAAAAAAAATCAGTGGTTGTTTGAGGCTTAGATAAATTCTTAATTATATTCAAGAACCAAGAGTATTGATTCAAGCTCATTTGCACACAATTGAAGTTTTTAAATAATTTTGAGTGCCTTGAGAATATTAAGAAAAAGCGCTTCACAACGATCATTACAACGACGTCATCTTCGTCGTCCTCCGCCTTCCCATCAAAGCAGAAGTTAACCCTAAAACTACAAAACCCTAACCCTCAGCTGATACCTCTACTCAGTCCTGATGTCCGCTATGGACGAGGACGAGCTCCAAAGCCTAACCCTAAACCCCACCCCTCCCAATGATCCACCTCCACCTCCTCCTCCCTCCATCCTTCCCATTCCCCCTCCAATTGCGCCATTACCCGTTCCCCGCTCTCGCACCGCCACCGCGGTCGCCTCAGATTCCGACCGTGAAGGCTCCCTCCCCCCTCCCCGCACCGACGACTATGAAATTTCAGATGAGAGTCGCCTCGCCCGGGAGCGCCATGAGAAGGCCGTGCAGGATCTCCTCATGAAGCGCCGCGCTTTCGCCATGGCTGTCCCCACGAACGACGTCTCAGTCCGAGCCCGCCTTCGCAGGCTTGGCGAACCAGTCACACTATTTGGAGAGCGCGAGATGGAGCGCCGTGACCGGCTCCGTGAAATCATGCTCAAGTTAGACAGCGAGGGACAGCTTGAGCGCCTTCTGAAGGCGCATGAGGAGGAGCAGCAGGCAATCACAGTGCCCGCGGAGGATGAAGGGCCGCAGGTGTACCCATTTTTTACTGAGGGGACTCAAGATCTTTTAGATGCGAGGATGAAGATTGCAAAGTATTCGTTAGTTAGGGCCGCAGCGAGATTAGAGAGGGCGAGGCGGAGGAGAAATGATCCAGATGAGGATGAAGAGGCCGAGTCCATGGAGGTTGTGAGGCAGGCTGGGGAGTTAGTGCTTGAGTGTAGTGAGATTGGTGACGATCGTCCGCTAACCGGTTGTTCGTTCTCGCATGATGGAACTCTTCTTGCCACATGGTATTTTTCTATAACATTTAGTACTAGTTTTGATCGAGTTGATGTATCTAAGCTTTGGAAAACTATTTTGCAACAAATTTGAAGACTAATTACTGCTACTATTCCATTGATTTGCTTTCCAATATATAGTTCTCATCGCAAAAATATCCCTTAATTAAGATAATTAAATTCAAACGATGACAAATAATTACATGGAAACAAATACATCTAATGATGGATGCCAATCTTCCTGAAATTGAGAGAATTATAAATTCTGAAGGACTCTGAAGATTTGCAGGAAGTAAATGCTGTAATGTTTATTTCTTAATATGCCCACAAGTTAGCTTCGATTGTATATGACAATCTTGGACCATAGTAGAAGAAAATGTGCTCGAGTAAATGGTTTGGCGATCACATTTGTAATTTGATCTGCGGAAGGAACATCAACAACACAGGGATTGCCTTTTTGAAATTTCTTGTGAACAAAAGGATAATCAAATGCCAAATGTTTCATTTGGGAGTGAGTGATTGCGTTGGAACTTAGATAGGTGACACCACAATTGTTGTAGTAAATTATTGATGTATGTACTAAGCACATGCCAGGTTCAGAAAAATAGAGAGGTAAGCCAAGTGAGTTTTGCGGAGGTAGATGCAAAATTCAATATATAACTGATCAATGCTCCGTTGTTTCTCAGAATTTCAATAGATGATGTTGAGGCTTAGGTAAACTATCTAAGTGCCAATGGAGGTAGCATAATAACAAGTGTATCTCAATCAACATTGCAAAATGCATGGAGTTGAAGAGGTGGGGGTGAATTATGATAAAGTGTAATGCAATGATCAATTTTGCTTGTCTTTTGATTGTGGACCAATTATTGATTGTTGGTTGATGCATGAATTGAGATAACTTGTAGTTAGTTTAGGCAATGCCGGGATGAGTGCTGACAAGATATTGCAACGGTTGGGTCTGAGAGGGAGGAACCTAAGGAAAACATGAAGACAAGACTTGTGGCCATAAGATTGATGATAGATTTTACGTCTTCTATGTGAGTTTTTTTAACTAGATTGAAGGTGTATTGCTTTTGAGAAAGAAAGATAACTTGAGAGTGAGTGAAGACTCACTTTAACCCAAGGAAGAAGATCACCGGTCCTAGGTCTTTGAGAGAAAATTACTTTTTTAAGATGTTAATGAATTATTGGGTAACCTTTGAATTACCACCCATGATAATAACATCATCAACATACATGAGAAGTTAGATAGTGTGACCACATACATGTATTGAGGATAAAAAGAGATTTTTCATTGAGAGAGTTTGTGATGCTACTTGCTAGAAATTAATGATGCTCGTTTTACAATGTTCATGGTGTGTTTTTTTTTTTTTTTTTTTTTCAGTTCATAGAGAGTCTTGCTGAGTTTTTAGAGAGGATGTGAATTGTCCTTGTCAACAAACCTACGTGGCTAAGCTATATTGGCTTTGTCGGTGAGAGTGCCTTGGAGAAAGGTATTGCTTAGTTCTAGTTTGGGAATAGACCAATTTAGATAGACAATGATATGCGAACAAGTCTTATAATAGCATGCTTTATAATGGGGTAGTGATGTGACCAAAAAAACACAAACAAATTAAAGATTGCAAAAACAACTAAACGTCTTCCTTAAAACATAAACATAATAAACTTACAACTATATAACTTATATTAATTTAGACAAGGATACAAGTGATGTGGAAACAATGGATAGAGAAGAAGAGGTTAGAAGTCCAAGATGAAATATAAGAGGAGAAGTGGAAAGGAAACTTAGCTTGCAAGCTAAAAAACCCGCAGGTTTTTGTTCAAAAAATTCTTCACAAAACCACCTTCTACAACAGCAAAACCAGCCCCTATTTATAATAAAAAAAAGGAAAAGAGCATTGATTACATATAGTTAATGAACCACACAAATAGCCAATAAGAACTCCTTAAAACCCACAGCCAATAGGGACCGAGAGGGCAGAAGCTATGGAGGGAAACCGAAGCAAAATCCGCAACCAATGCGTGGGCAAAACGAAGCATCAACACGACAACCAAAGAGACAACTTTTGGGAATTAATAATCAGCATGGGGAACACCAAACAGTACCTAGGGAATACCAAACAACACTTTTCCTAAACTCCCTTCAAAAACCCTTCCAAAATTGCTCTGTTGGCGCTTGGTGTGATCGGTGTACCGTGTACAGGAGAGGCGGACGTTTCCGCCTTGGTTCCGCCTAGGCCGGTCTTTACGGGACCGGATGGACCGGTCTAACACATTCCTCCAATTATTCAAAAGGTTTGTGCAAAGATGTTAACGGGCAATTACTCTATGAGGTGTTTTTGGGTCTGCATGCCCTGTATATTAGTTTTTACCATCGATATTTACTCATTACTAGTCTTCTTCTAGAATCTGGGTACATTGTTGTGTTCCCATGATTGTTTTTGATGAAATTGATAAGATTACCAGACAACTTCATTGTATTGAGAGGCCTAATATGTCTTTACGATTGTTTGCTTTTGGTGATTTTATTTGGTTGCATCATATTTGGGTTGGGTATTTGAAATTTATATGTTAGATGTGCAACTTTGCTGTTGAATTTGCAGACACATGACTGAGGTTTGATGCACTTTTTTTTTTTTTTTTCATTTTTGGCCTTCTAGATAGGAAATGAAAAAGAAAGGAACGAGACATGTCAGTGATGGGGAAAACGTAAGGCAACCAGTTTTCATGTGATTGCTTAATTTCGATGAGATTTTGAAGGAGGATGGATCTAGTGGGGCAAAAATGTTTCTATGAGATTGCTTTAGAATTATTATTAGAAGCACCATCCAAGGTTGTGTGCGCTATTACTATACCTATTGCCGAATTATTTACTATATAGGAACAAAGGATTCAAATTGTTTTACTATGATATGGCCGAGTTGGTCTATGATTAGTCAAGATTTTCTCCAACCCAAATTTATGAACCAAGGAATTAGATTTATCCAATCAATATTAGAACCCTAAACAATCCCTAAACAATATTAGAGCCCTAAACTTTTTATATGCCATATTCCTGGTATTAGCTATTTTACACCATACATATCAATAGCACAGAATAGCATACGCTATAGTGCAAAGTGTAGCACGACATACCCCTGAGCCTTGCCATTTTCATGGACAATCATGGAGGATTAAAATTGCGCACACTATTTATGGCATGCAGGGAAAATAACATATATCCTTGATAAATAGTTATTTTAATTTATACAATTTATGATTTGAAATTAATATTAGTTTTGTTTATAATTTAATTCTTATATTTTATTTTAATTTGCAATATTAGGGTAGGGCATGATTTATGAATTTGCCTTAAGCTCTGATCTTGCTAAAGAAGACTGCTCTTAGCTTTGACATATGGTCTCGCTTTCAAAGCAACTCATAAAGCTTACAAGATTTGGTTCACTCACATAAGTGGTGAGGCTTGCGTCTCTTGGCTATAATTTTCACGTCTCTTGTCTTGAACGAAGGCTTTGACATACGCGCTAATCTCACGTTGTATGAACGCTACGATGGTCTATTTGCTCTGTCTTTGACACATGAGCTTTCTAAGACTTCGACGAAGGTAAAGGTTTATCGGCATCAACATTCTTGCTGCTCTTGCCTTGCAAGAAGGCTTCGACCGTCTAAGTATCTCATAGCTCTTGCCTTGCACAAAGGCTAAAACACTCTTTCTGCTTAGCCTTTGACGCACGAAGCTTCCAAGGCTTTCGCTTGACATGAAGTTTTTTGATTGTTTATTCGTATCCTCTTTTTGTTGGTTTAAGTTGTATCATGGGTTCTTTTTTTTGCTTATTTTGTTTATTGTAGGTTGTGTATTTTAATATTATTTCATATTTAGTTGTATTTTTATCCATATCTTTTAATATTTATGTGATATTTAAAATAGTATGTGCTATGCCATATATTATGAGTTATGGCTCTAAAAAGGACCTTTTCGTTATAGTGCATTATTTGTTATTGGCAAATATGTTCAACACTTTGTTTATATGTGTGTTTGGTTGGTTGCTTTTTTTAGTTCTAATTTCGTACTTTTATTAATACTGGATATTCATTGCTTCATCTATTTAATTTGCCTTTTTAGATAATTTTTCTTGGTGATATGGCTTTTACAGTTGTTCTTATTTATGATTCCAGTATTCTGGACTTAGATTTTACTCTGCAAAGATCCAGGAGACTGACAATCCTTAACATTTTTTTGGGTATTTGGTTATGTAGTGCTTGGAGTGGAATCACTAAAATATGGAGAATGCCTCAAGTATCCAAGCAGGCAACCTTGAAAGGTCACACAGAGCGTGCAACTGATGTGGTATTTTCTCCTGTGGATGATATTTTAGCAACTGCATCAGCTGATAGAACTGCAAAACTATGGAAAAGTGATGGATCTCTTTTGAAATCTTTTGATGGCCATCTAGACCGGCTTGGTCGAATCGCATTTCATCCATCCGGAAAATACCTTGGAACTGCTAGTTTTGATAAGACATGGAGACTCTGGGACATTGAAGCTGGAACAGAGTTGCTTCTCCAAGAAGGTCATAGTCGAAGCGTCTACGCCGTATGCTTCCATCCTGACGGATCTCTAGCGGCATCATGTGGCCTCGATTCGCTTGTTCGTGTGTGGGATCTGCGCACAGGAAGAAGCATTCTTGCCATGGAAGGCCATGTTAAGCCAGTTATGTTGTGCCTTTACTTCTCCTTTTCATCAAGCATTTAGCCGCCTAATATTCATTTTTACCTTAACAGGTTCTAGGAATCTGCTTCTCTCCTGATGGATTTCGTTTAGCAAGTGGTGCAGAAGACAATACTTGCCGTATATGGGATCTGAGGAAGAGAAAATGTGAATATACAATTCCAGCGCATTCAAACCTTATTTCTCAAGTCAAGTATGAACCTCAAGAAGGTTATTTTCTGGCAACTGCTTCATTTGATACAAAGGCAGTGGTATGTTTTCCTGTGCATTTATTTTCTTTCTTGCAGATAAGTTCTTCAATCTATTGCCTATTTTCATTTTTTTTTGTTTCTCCTTAACCATTTTTCAGGTCTGGTCAGCTCAAGATTTTAAGCCTATTAAGACTCTCTCTGGCCATGAATCAAAGGTTACTGGATTAGATATTACAGCAGGTGAGCTGCACCTTATTTTTAGTTTTCTAGTGAGATTTGCGAGGATTTTAAGAATCTGCTTGGTTTGCAGAGGAGAAATTTAGTGGACAAAATTATTTCATAGTGAAGTACTTATATATTCTAATAGAAAAAATATTCAAAATGGTCCATGGACTCTTTATAAAAGATCAAAATAGTTCCACTATGAGAATGTTTTGATTTTTTTTTTTTTTAAATGTGAGAGACTGAAATAGTCTTTTTAATATGGTTGCGGATCACTTTGATCTTTTGTAAAGAGTCAATAGATCATTCTGATCTTTTTTTTTATTATTCTAATATCTTTGATTGAATTAATTTCTTATGAATCACATCCAAACCAAACATTATTTCCTTTCCTAATAACTCAAAATCAAACAAAGCCCTTATGACTTTTATTTTTTCCTCAATGTAGATGGACAGCACATTGCAACAGTAGCTCATGACCGCACCATCAAGATCTGGTCCAGTAGAAGTAATGGAAAACCAAAGGCTATGGACATCGAATAAGTCCATCCTCTTTGAATTATACCATGGTTATCCTCTCTGTTTATTTCATCAAAGCTATGATGTCATTAGGGGTGGTGGCCAAGGCTGAGATCTCTCTTTCTTTCCAACACAATTTGTATGTTGTACATTGCTGATTTTACCACTCGAACTTCTCAATAGATGTTAAGTTATTAGAAACGCTTGCCAATTTGATGCTGAAAGATCATTCACATAGTATTTGTTGCTTACTAAAAAAACTTGATGGAAGTAAAATAATTTAATATTTCAGATTGTACGTACAAAGGCTCGTCTTTTTTTTTTTTAATATATTTAGGTCAATTAAGACTAACGCATAAATACATCACATATACAAGATTCGAATTCAAAATCTTTTAATTCACATATGAGTTCATCGGAAGAAGACCTTGTGCTGTCCCAAAAATGTCAAATAAGAGCTATTAATTCTATTAATTGAGTGTTATATGATGTAAATGATAAAATTTAAATGTTAAGCATATAAATCTTAATACTTGGAATGGTGTATATGTAAATCTCCAAATTAATTAATAAACTTTAAAATTGTATTTAATTAAATAAATAAGTACATATATTTTTAATTATTATTTGTTGTAGATCGTTATATAAAATTATAAAGGATAAATCAACAGTCATCCGCTTTCTTGCTAAAAGCCCAAATTAATAAGCCCTCGGGGTTGCCGGAGGTCTCGCATGCTTCTTTTGTAAACCCTCTTAGGAGTTATCCAGAGCTCTTCAAGAAATCATCTCCAGGATCATCGGCGATGCTGACGAGGGGATTTGAGCTTTGAGAAGCAGTTCGTTGCTCAAGCCCTAGATTTCGATACCTTGCACTCGAACGTTCTCGTTGTTCGCTACTCACCAGAGGTAGCAGATCCATTTATCCTTCGAATCTCGCCATATTTATTTCCTTTCGTGATTGTTATATTTTTTATCAGACTAGTGCTTTTAAGGTTTGAAGCTTTTGTCTTGCTCGTCTTCCAGTGATTGCGTTGATTTGAGCTTGAAGTGACCGAAGAAATTTATTTCTAAATGTGCTTGCTCTATTTTACTGAACGCCATATGTATTTCCTTTCGTGTAGGCTGTCTTTCATCTTCTCTTTTCATCGTTGCTGTTCGGCTTCGTTGCTTCGCAGAAGGTGTAGAGATTGCACGCGTCGCTTCTTCGGCTCTTTCGTGGCTGTTCGACTCCGCTTCTTCGACGACTTTACCTTCCTGTCGAAACGGAAGTTACGACATTTTGATCGGAAGTAGCAACAGGAGCTCGCTGGCTGTGAAGGTAACTTTCTACCTTTCGCGCGCTTCTTCGGCCAAATCCCATAAATCCGCCGAACCGAGGGATTTAGTAAATCCGGGATTTAAGACGTAAATCCTTAAATCCGGGATTTAACGCGCTCACAAAAACCGTTTGGCTGGATTTAGCGTAAAGCCGACTTAAATCCCGCAGTAAATCCGATACCAAACAGCGCTTAAGGTTTGAAGCTTTTTGCTTTTCTCGTCTTCCAGGCTATCCTGATTGCGTTAATCTGAGCATAAAGTGCTCTATTTTACTGAACAGGGTTACAGGCATGTAGTTTGTTTAGAGCTATCATTCGCTCATATTGCTAGAGGTTTCCGATATAGCATCAATAGAAGTTCTATTTGGGCTATAGTTATCGTTCACCTATATAAATTATTTAATTCTTGAGTTATTACTTTATGGTGGTAGGTTGAGTTTCACAGAAATTGTGATTTTCATTGCAGTTTTGCATAGGTTCCATTTGCTTTGGTTGATCATCGATGTAGAATTTTGCTGATGTATGTAGAGGTTCAGTATTGTGATACTTGTGTGCAGAATGTCGGAGGCCTTCCTGAAACAAATCAAAATGTTGTTTTGGTTTTGGTTTGCAGTTTTTAATTTTTGTATTGGTTTCAGATAAAATTATGTTAAAATCAAAGCCAAACCATGCACTTGTACTGGAAACTAAGATCCATTCCATCTATTTGTTGTTATTAACTTTTACTTTTTCTGTTGCCATCATTCCATTCAAACCATACTGTGCAATTATACTCGAAACTAAGATCTATTCCATCTATTTGTTGATATTCACTTTTCCTTTATGTTTTGCCATCATTTTCACCCATCCTTATTAGTTTGTATTGGAAACTTGATATTAAGCAACACTACTGAAGTAAAATTACAAAGAATTTTTAAGGAAGACAGAAATTTTTTATTTAAATAGCTTTGAGATCAATATTCTTTTTTCATAGCATCCATTAGTTGCATAAGTTCACTCATTTTATTAGTGAGACAACATTTCAAATATGAGGAGTTTAGGGAGACCAACAGAGGATTCTTTTTCTTATATTGATGTAGGACAACTTAGGATTATGGTTTCCTAAAGCAGTTAATATAATGTGCATTATAAATTTATGCAAAGGAACTTGGTGATTTACATATTAGAAGCTACCATTTAATTAACTAGCTTTCTTTTTTAAAATGTAAAAAAAAATAATACATGAATTAAAACCTAATATGGAACAAAATGATTGAAAAAATTCTAGCTATTCAATAAGGATTTAGAACTTCATAAAATAATAGTTGCCGCATCTGAATTTCTCTTTGCGAGAGCCCATCAATCTCGCAAGCTGTCACATTTCCTCCACTGCTCAGTAGTGCTTTTAGATGCAGTTAGCCTTCAAAAATTGCCTTATATTTTTTCTTTCATATTTTTTATATGTGGTGTTTTAATCAGATTATTGATTTAGGGTGTGTTTCTATTTTTGTTCTCTTCCAAATTTATCTTGTTTTTATTAGTCTGACTATAAAGAGGTGGTGCATTTGATGAAGAAATTCATTTCTGAAGGTTCTATAGGGATATGTTTTTATCAAAACAAAATCATGACGGATTTCCTTGATTAAACAATTTTATAGGTAGGCTGGAGCAATGTTTCTGTCACTGCTATCAATAGAAGATGCCAGATAATATATAGTTAGCATTTTTTTTTTTTGGGACATTTAGGCCACTTAAGCCAGACTCACACACACATTGCATACACATGACTTGAACTGAAGACCTCTTAGTTGGTAGCCTAAGCTCTCAACCAACAGATCAATGTGAACTGTGTATATAGTTAGCATTTTACCTACAATAATTGGCTAGATCTTAAATTAGTGCTTTCTCGTTATGGGTGGGGAGTTTCATAGAAACCCTGCTCTCAATTCACGTTATAATAGATGGTTTGATTTTGATTTGATTATCAATGTTTGAATTTTCTCTTACATGCGAATGTCAGTATTGTTTGTTCTGGGCGAATGTTCGGTTTGGTTTTGGATTAGAAATTTACCAAGCATACCCCTACCAAAACTCAATATCCTCACTGTCTATTTCTTGCTCTCCACTTTCTTTTGTAGCCATCATTGTCAAGCACCTCTTAAGAATTCGGCTTTAAAACCAAATATTAAGAAACAACAACAACAACAACATCAAGCCTTTATCCCACTACATGGGGTCGGCTAAATGAATCCTTTTTCTCCATTAAGAAACAATAATGAAGAAAAAAAAGAGGAAAATTCGTGGCTGCACAGATTCACTTGTTTTATCAAGGTGACAATTATAAGAAATGATGTCCTTTTAATATTAAGGAGATAAGGAGATATGGGCGGCCAAGTGAGGAATTTTATTTCATATATACCATCAAATCTTTCTATTTCAATGAGGCGGCTATTCAAATTGCTATTCTGCTAGGACCTTAAGTTGTATTTGTTACCAATTTTGACTGTCATGGAAGGACATTGAAGCAATGACTGTTGGTTGATTTTACTTCATAGTTCTCGTCTCTTTGTTATTCTAGCTTCATAAATTTATCCTACTTGAAAATAATATGCGAGGATTTGATAATCATTCCAAGTTTTTTCATTGAAATTTGATGTCTGTGGTGGAAAATGCTGGCTGGGTTATAACCACACCATTTTGTTTATACAGATAATTTCATTAGTGGATATATAAGAGAAATTTAATTTGTAAAATTTTCTCATCTTACACCCCATATATGACTAACATTAACTTCACTCATTCCTTTGTTGGTGACAGTCATAGAAATGTCTGCCAAGGTAAGAAAAGTTACTGGGCGAGAAGAAATGGCAACAAATTATGCCTTTGCCCCCCAGGAAGATGATGCAATAATCAAGCACAGGCTTCTCACACGCACTACAACCACAAGGGGTGAACCACCCTTAAAGAAACTCAATAAGAAGTTCATTACACTTGTATTTGAAGTTGAGAAGGATCTAGATAACTACAATGAGTGTGAGAAGTTGTACAAAAACTTCTTACAAGAGATGGCCACCTTTGAGTTGCCACTCATCAAAAGCAAGGCAGTGGTTGATGCAAACATCCGAGAGAAGGAGAGTTTCAATGAGCTGCAGGAAGAAATCCATGGCCAAATTTTGCAAGCCCAGGCTGATATAGAAGATCTGAAGACGCAGCTTGAGGAGAGCAAGATTGAGAGGCAGCACAAAGAGGAATGTGAAGCGATCAGGAAATTGATCGCATTGCAGCCACCAAGGTATGAAACCCAGCAGACCATTTCAAACCTTGAGAAAGAAATTGCAGCATTGGAGGCTGAGAATGCTGCAGGTGTGAGATTGCTTGATCTCAGGAAGAAACAGTTCTCTCTTCTGCTACATGTGGTAAGTATGGCTACAGCTCTACTCCGAAGATCATTATCATTGTCCTCATTCAACATTAGCCTTGTCTTAAGTATTTGGGGTCTCTTTTATTTATTGCCCTCTACCTCTATTCATTATTGTTTAGTTTAGCAATACCGCACTTTCGCAGGGTCTTTACCTAATCTTTTGGCATAATCATTAATTTCTAAGAATGGTTAATGTTTATTTGTTTTCCTGTTGACATTTGAAAATATTTGTAAGCAATGACTATGAACTGACATATCTGATAGGAAACACTTGTAGATCTCAATTATTTTCTATCAATTTTCAGAAATTAACTCCACAAAAATCCACACAAAGCCACAAAACAGTATATAATTTGTATTATTTGATGAAAGGGAAACGGATAATACCAAAATTCAGTTGATCCTCTATTCAAGAGAATAATCGATCTCTCGAGCCCAAAGGAAAACCTAAATCTAAGAGATCTCAAATTTCAGCCAAATTCAAGATGCCCTAACCTTAGGAAAACAAACTATTTAATGCATACAAATCAAAAGGAAATCCTAAACAACTACATTCAAATTTCCCTCTTGATTCCCCCAAATTCTTTCCTATTTGGCTCTCAGATGCTAGCGGCTTGATCGGCTCCGTGGGAGAGGCGGAGAAGTTCCGCCTCTAATTGTCTGGTCCGATCCCGTGTAGACCGGCTGGACAGGTCAAATGGATTGGTCTAACAATAGCTTACCAGATTCTAGATAAAACTTACTGTGTTTTGGAACTATTTCTAATAAATCTCAATTTCTTCTATTTTTTCTATTTTTTGAAAGCGAAATTTTATGATGTCTATGTTTCTTCAACATTTTAAAGGATTGCATTGTTAGACGAGTATTTTATTGACCTGAATTTGTTGAAGTTCTGATGCCATTTGTGCTGTGATGCTGTCATAGGTGGATGAACTGCAGAACACTGTAGAGGACGAGCAAAAGAGCTTAATGGATGAGCTGAGGACTATGGTGGAAGAGCAAAAGAACAGCATTGAGGAGGCCAATGGACGCGGGTCCGAAGCTATGTTTGTAGATTGAGGGCCTTCAGGTTTGTTGCAAGATCCAGTAGGTCGAAGCTTCCATGACAATTTTTTTTTGTGCTAGTCATTTAAAAGTTCAGTTTTCTGATGTTGCAGAAATCTATGTTGTATGCCTACATACAATTTCGATTCCACCACAGTTATTATATGTAAAAAGCGAGGTGGATCCCATGATTTGATTAATTCAAGCCCTATTACTTCATGGCTAAAACTGTTATTATTATTATTTTGACAGATAAAGCATCAGTATTGGAAATTATTTTGTGAGCGAGATTATTTTTTGCTGAATATTTACTCTGTTTCTGTGACCGGCGATTGTTAAGTTTCTATCAATGAATTATATAGCTTTGAACGAGCTTAACTCTATGTTTAGGTATCAGATCTTGATGATTCAATTAGTGCTGTATTCCTTATGAATGGTAGTATTTTCTTAACACTGAATGATATTTGTAAAATGGCTTTAATATGAACATTTAATGTAGAGAATTACATGATAGAAACTCATCAAAATGATTCTGTACAGTAGATGCTAACGCAGGGTAATGAGTACAATCCTCAAGTTCTTGTAATTTTATCCATCAAATATTAAAAAAGAACACAAACTTAGATGTTATGATTCAGGAGATGTGTTATTGAAAGAAATACATGTTTGAGATGATATATGTATTTTTTTTAAATAGTGCAAATCGAGAATTTTTCACTCATCCTAGTACTGCTCTTGCTCAAGCATGCTTAACTGCAGAGCTCTAATGAGATGCGGTGCACTGATGCTGGTATGGCCGCACTCTGTTTTAGATGATATTCTAATGTTTGCATGTCAAATTAATAGGGAAAGCACTCATTGAAAGTAAGGCTCGCCGAGTGGATAGAAAGGGCAATGGAAAGGGTTGTCGAAATTATCTCATCACTTGGCTAAGAGGTTGATCAAAACCACAATGAGGGAGAAAGAAGAGAGGAAGAAGGTTAACATTATCAATGTGTGCCGATGTCGAGGGGCGTGAGGAAGGAGTAGCCCATTATTGAAGAGTAATTAGGATCAAGTAAAAAGCTCGCATGGAATTAGGGGTGTCAATACAAAAAAATTTGGCTTTGGCACATGAAAATTTCTAGTTCAAATCAACGAGTGTGGGATTTCGGTCAAGATCGGAGCCTTCAAGAGACTTGAGAAAATCATATCGTTTCGGGTAGGCTTTTTTTTCTTGAATATCAATTAAAAATCCATTTATAGTGATATATTATTATTATTTTTTATTTTTAAGTTGGTGGGTACAATTTGGTGTTAAGCAGTGTTAAGAGATGCTAAGGTTCCAAACAAATATATCCCTTTAGAGGTTTGGAAAATGTTAAGATAAATGCTAACCTTTTTAGAGGTTTGGAGAATGTTAGGAAATTATTTTGTAGACGAACTTAAAATTTTTTCTTTAACAGATTTGTCTTACTTCGAGCTTTGATTTGAGCATCAAAGCATTTATGTATAAATCATTAAATTATATATTTTTTATATAATATTAATACTCTTAAATATTATATAAATAAATAAATAAATATTAAATATAGAAATAAATAAAAAATTTATGATACAAAGATAACTCTCTCTAAAATTAAATAAAAAATATCCTGGTTAGACAAATTTGCAGGTAAGCCCGAAAAGAATTTCAATTTCAGAAATATATCATGCTAAAAAAAATGTTAATATATTCCTCCATCTGCCCAAGATTCTTAAGAGGCAAAGAGCTTGATTTTTTTCCTCGTCTCTTTTAGAATAATTTGGCATTTTTAATACAAAAAAAATACAAATAAAACAAGACAGAGCCTCTTGGTAATGCTTTGAATCTTGTTTTTTAGCTATTTCATAAGTAATTTGTCTATTGTTGACTTCCTAGGATAAGTAATCATAATTTCAGCATACATTAATTTGTAGAGAAAATAAGAAAAATAAATTGCAAACCAGCATTCGTTTTATTGTCTAATCAATCTGTCATGGAAACCCTGAAATATCCTACAAACAGTATTTATCATCGATACGTCATCAAAAAATTATCTTGATCGGGCATGAATCTCGATGCAAAATCAAGTTGAAAACTTTTGAAATTAAAATTAGGACCACCACCTCAGGCTCTCACCTTCGTCGAACCATCACTTGAGGCCCTCGCTTCCGCCGGACCACCACTTGAGGCTCTGAGCTCAGTCGGACCACCACTTGAGGCTCTGAGCTCCGTCGGACCACTACTTGAGGCAAAGGCTTCTGCCTGACCACCACCTAAGGCCCGAACTTCCAAGTGACGCCGGATTTGATACTAAACTTTAACCATACAATTTACATTTGTAATTTGATAGGGCGACTCAGACGACTGTACTCAATTTAAATTATAGTGGAATCTTTTCAACTGGGCTAGACTCTATGGTTTTTTCCCATTCCAGGGTTTTCCACGTAAAAAATCTTATATTCTCTGTGTGTGAGCTGGATATCCGTACTACGCTAAGACGTAGAAATTAAACTCTATCGCTGCGTATATTCTAGCATGCAACAATCATGAAATCAGCCTATATAGTATAAATAATTTATACAATATGTATTAAAAAAATTAAAATTTAATTAACAAAAAAATTACAACTAATAATCGAAACGGTAATTTAATAGCTAAATCAAATCAATCAAATATAATCAATTTAATTTAATATAGTGTTATATTTTATAAATAATAAAATTTAAGAGTTAAATATATGTTATATAGGCAACCCCTGTAAATTTATAAAATTGGTGGATGTATTTGTAAACCCTTGACATGTCACACCCATTGCAGTCATTTGGACTTCTTCTTGGCTTAGAGCTTACTTGCTACCTTCTGCTCGTAGTATAATTATGGGAAGTAAACACCAACGTCAGAAGCTTCCCTGAGGCTTTCTTCAAAAGGAATACTAGGAGAAGTAGACTTCAAGACCTCGCCGGCGATCTTCGGCGGTGGCCGGTGACGGTGACCCACTTAAGTCGCCGGCGATGGGTGGCGAAATGGGGATGGAACATCGGGAGTCTTCCTGAGGTCAATTAGAGGAGGTAACATGGTTCGGCACTGGCTGCATCAACACCGTAGATAGCATGAACATGAGAGTGATCGCGATCGCGATCGGAATCCCCCTCCTATTTTCCCTTCTTCGTCGGGTTTGTGGACAGGAAGGTAATCGGTGGCGGTTTCTTCATCATTTTCTCTTTGACTTGATTTTTTGGTCATTGAATGGGGATTGGGGTTCTGTGAATTGATGAATTGATTTAGGGTGTAAATTTGTTGATCTTGGTCGATTAGCGAATTGGAAGAGTCGTCTCAATGCAGCCGTGCAGAAACCGAGAAATTGAATTCTTTTTCTTTCATTTTATTTTCCTCGTTCAGGCATTTGTAGCTGAAAGCCTGCTTCCTGAAGTTGGTACCATACTAAAAATTTACGTTATTATGTTGCTTTTTGATTAAATTGTGATTGGCTGTGCAGGTTTTGTTAGCATTCAGTGTTGTGCAGCATCAAATTTTACTGATCAAGGAACTAACTTAACATGGACATCGGATAACTATTTATTTCATAGTGTTGGGAGATGCGAGAACTTTTCTGCCTTCTCTGGAAATGACTATAAAATTGCCCGTGTTTTTGATGAGAGTGATTCTAAAAGTTTCTGCTATTATCTTCCTGTAATTAAAAGCCGGAAGTACCTAGTGAGAGCAACATTCTTGAATGGCTATGTTCCCCATTTTGTAACTGGATCCACCTTTAACTTTTCAATCGGATCCACATCTATATCTCAAATTAATTCATCGTTAGAATATTTGGAATTAGAAGGTATCTTTGCAGCCAATGGCGACCACACAAACTTCTGCCTTCGAAATGAGCATGGTATTGCTTATATATCAAAGTTAGAGTTGAGACCATTAAATGATGTTTTTTACCTTCAAGACTACCCTGATACCATTCTGAAGTTGGTTACTCGTGTTGATCTTGGAAATAAGAATCTCTATTACCGGTATAATTTCTTTTTGGCTCAATCTTGCTATATCCTGGCTTTGCTAACTTGCTCATGTAATGTTACATGTAGGCAATGAATGTAACATTTTTACCTTCTGGTGATTAGGTTTCCCAAAGATCTTGCTGACCGCATTTGGCATGTTCACTATGAGGATGCAGATTTAATCAGAGGCAAGATATTGGAATCACCTGATATAAATTTGCACGGAGCTAATGTTTCTGTTCCACTTGAAGTTCTCCAGACTGCTATCACCGATGATGAACAGTTGATATTTAATCTAAAGGGCCTTGTAACAGACCATGGTGAATTACTTATCATTCTTCATTTCCTCGAACTTGATGCCAATGTGCAAACTGGGCAAAGGGTCTTTGACATATATGTTAATGGTGATAAAAAAATTGCAAACTTTGATATACTGGACAATGAGAATTCTTCTAACTACAAAGTAGTCACCACTCAGGTGAAATCAAATGGTTTTTTAAATCTCTCTTTAGTCAAAGTTCAGGAAACAGCCAAATATGGGCCCATTTGCAATGCTTATGAGATCTATAAGGTGCTCCAAAGAACAACCGAAACGATTCAAAGAGATGGTATGTATGATGTACCTTCCAGTGACCATGATGAATTGTAATATAGGAGGCTTCTGAGAACAAAATAATGATAATGTCTCTTGCAGAGAAAAAAAAAACTGTTTTTAATTGCTTGATATGATTTTTCTTTTTATTTCACACCACAAAACTGTTTTACATTTGCTGCTTCAACTTAGGCTAGTATCATTTGAACTCTTGATCAAGGTATGGATCCTTGAGAACAAAACTAAAGATGCTCACATATGTCATCATTGCATAGTTCTGTGTCAAAAACACACTTATCATGAGGAGGAGAGGCGTTGAGCTATTTCATCTGCCAGATCACTCTTTTGTAGCAACAAATAGCCAAGATGATGGAGATGTTCAATAGAAAGCTTCAAGAACAAGGAATTGATTAATGAGGATGGTTACCCATGAGTGAAAATAACACTATAATAAATGTGGAGAATGGTAGCAATATTGGGAGTAAGAAGAAGGTTTGGATAAAGAGGCCTCAAGTCTTGCACTATCATTTGAATAGGTAAAATAAATATCGTTTATGTTGGAGGCCAAATCAACATCTCGACATGTGATTCTATTGATGTTTTGGACTTGACTGCATGTGTTGTCAAACTATAGACCTTCAGACTTTATGGGTCACTTCTCAAAATAAGGTCTCATTTGCTTAGCTCAAACTCACCATCATGCATTGGTATATAGAATTCCCATCTTTATTTTAGGCAATAAAATGCCTACTAGGAATTTTTTAAGGAGATGCTCCAGTAAAAATATTTTACACTGAGGTATAAAGAGACCACGATAGGTAATCTATGCATGAATACAGCAATGAGTTTAGGCGGTAAAGCAATTCCATGGCATCTTTTTTGACTTCTTCTCATTGCATAAAGGAATACCTTGGAAGAAAGAAGAACGAGATAAACGTAAAAGTGGAAAAAGTTACAAGAGGTGTGCACGGTGCTTAACTAGCATTAGACTGAATTCGTAGGAATTGAGGCCGAGAGCTAACTAGAATCCTCAACTGGTGAAATAAAAGAAATCGAAAGATCCAAGAGAAGAATAAGGGCCTCTCTTTTATGGGGTTGAATTCTCTCCGTGTTCCCAGTTTGATTGGCGGTTCTGTCAGATGTTCTCTATTTTTGAACATCAAGTAGTATCAAATCATATATAACAGTGACATGACATACATTTTTTAAACAAAATTAGGGGTTATATATATATATATATATATATATATATATATATATATACAACAGTTACAGGTAAGAGGGCAGAAAGTTAGCTATAAATCAAATTCCGCGCAACTTGTTAGTGAATATTTAATTTAAAGAATATCATAGGTGAAGGTCATTGTCATCGAACTGACCTCCACCTTGAAAGGTTTAACGAGTACATCATATAGCTTTAATGAGATGCAATGAAATATTTGTGACTTTTTCGGGATTCTATCTTATTATGCTTGAAATAGAGTTAATGCAACCTACACATTATACATCTATTAGTTTGTATTATTTCAACCTAGGAAATGATAAATCAATTGATGTTTTTACTCTTGATCGGTGATTTTCTTTTCTTTCTTGTTAAGTTGTTAATGCGTTCTCAAAAATCTCTCCAGTGGATGCTGTCATGAAACTCAAGCAGGAGCTGATGGTGGAAAATTCTAAGCATAAGGTCTTTGGGAATTGGCAAGGCGACCCATGCCATCCTGCTTCATGGTTTGGCGTGTCCTGTGAAGAGAAGAGTGGATCCTTTGTCATCACGAAGATGTAAGTTTGCCTTAACATGAGAAGCTAGCAGGCTTTTATGTTTTTTCTAACGATAACTGAATTGGTGAACGCAATGTGTACATGTCGTGGCTTTTAGACCAACAGGGCCTCAACATACTTCCATGCCCTATTATTATTATTATTATTATTTCTCTAGTTTTCATATTAATCTTACGCCACCATTTTCTGACAGTTTAGTTTTTGTACTCAAAACATTTTTATCATTTCTACTCTTTTCTTTTGTATTTCCTTGTACTTATTTAATTGATTAGGTGTGCGATTTTGCATTATTACTCAGAAATCTTCCATCAATGAATCTTCGAGGAGCAATTCCAGCAGTTATTGGAGATCTTACAGAACTCACGGAATTGTATGTTTTAATTTTTCACACAATTATTGATTTGTTCTTATTGAAATTTCTGCAATCAAGTTTAAATCCTTGTTAACTTCTTATCTGCAGGGATGTGCAGTATAATAATTTCACTGGGCCTATTCCAGATTTCTTGGCTACTCTTCCCAATTTGTCAACACTGTATGTTTGTCGTTTTTATCGTTTCAGCTGTCAGATCTTGATATATCACTATCTTTTTTCTTTTTTTCATGCCTTCGAAGTTGCACTTATTAAATTTGATAAATTATTTAATACATGACATACATTTGTAACTCAGTTCTAGTATAACTCATCTTTTGAATGACCATGGTAAAGAGAACTTTAGTTGTTCTTCTCATTTAACATATACTTATTTTTTGCTTCTAGATCCATCGAATGCAACCCACAGCTGAGCAGCCATATTCCGTCCAGCTTGTCCACTAGAAAAAATCTAACTGTCATGTATGTAAGCTACCATGGGATTGTCATATCTTTGAAGTCTTGGGAGGAAGCTTTCTGTATCATTTACTTATTATATTTTTTATTTTTGCTAGCAGCTCTGGAAGCTGCAATGCTCCAACGCCTCAAAAAAGTAATATTCATGTTATAGGCAGTGTTGCTTGTGCTTGTGTTGCAGTGACATCTGTATTGGGAATCTTTTTTAGCTGCTTTTACAAGCGTCCCCATCGAACCTTGAAAAGGAAATACCCAGTTACTAAGAGTATGTCTTCTATATTCTTTAAAAAACTTATTTTAGCCCCACAGATGGAGGCTTTCTTACTGATGGCACTAAAAATTATTTGGACAGTAACTTTCTTGTCAGTAGTCTCATTATAATTTGCGTGACTCTTACCTTTCTCAGAGAAGACATGATTACTACATGGAGATGTACATTTATAACTAAGTTACACATAGCTCCAGGAGCCTTGTCCACTGTATGTTCATTAGATTGAGCCTTATCTGAGTTTTGATCCAAATGTGCAGATTTGGGATCCATAGACCACAGCATCCAATACGCTCTTAAGAATCCTGGATCTGAAGTGAAGACCTTTACACTTGATTACGTTAAAAAAGCAACATGCTGTTACCAAACATTAATTGGTGAAGGTGGTTTTGGGACAGTTTATCGTGGTACACTTTCACCTGGTCAAGAAGTTGCTGTAAAGGTGCGGTCAGCCACATCAGTACAGGGCACACGTGAGTTTGATAATGAGGTAAAATATTAAAGATTGCATTTTAATCATTGTGCTTTTGTTTGAATGGTTTTTCGGGTTATGGTTTTAGCATGAAAGTTTGTTTGTTCATTATTGTAAGGTCTTACGAGTTTCTGAATCAAGCTAAATGTACATGCATTATATTTTTGCTTTCTAGTTCCAGTCTAGTTTCTGTTCTATGACTAATTGTTTTGTTAATAAGTTAATTGCCAATTGACCAGGAGTTAGGTTCCTTGATTGATTGTTATGACAAGCTTCCATTGATTTTTCAAACTTCACGAGGAGCTTGTTCTAAGATGGTGGCAAATTATCATGTTCTTTTGTTAAAACATTAATAATCAAAATGATGCTTTTCAATATCCTTCACAGATTATCTACTGTGGTGATATCACATAAGCTTGGCTTAGTTGAATGCTATTGCCACTTTTAAGTTATTTCACTCATTTTTTTGTCGGTCTATTTTTATGAATTGTTTATTAAAATCAAATATAAGATTAAACTTAGTTTTCTAACAAATATTTGTTTGCTAGGTAAACCTACTTTCAAAACTTCGGCATGAGAATTTGGTCCCACTCCTTGGCTACTGCTGTGAAAATGATCAACAAATTCTAGTATACCCTTTCATGTCTAATGGTTCTTTGCAAGAGCGGCTATATGGTATTCAGCTTAGTGTCAACTATGTTTTGGTTAATCATTCATTTTCTTTTTCTCTATTAATTTTAATGTATTGATAGGGGAGGCATCAAAAAGAAAAGTTCTGGACTGGCCAACACGACTTTCCATTGCGCTTGGTGCTGCTAGAGGCAAGAAAAGCCCTATTCTATTGCTTTCAGAAAAGTTCCTTCATTTTGTGATTAGTTCTGTGAACACAATTTAACGACCTTTTATAAAGAATGAACAATTTACTGCTTGTCGTAAAATTGTATATAAAAGACAACCCCTTTGTTGGGCTAGACTTATTGTACCGATGTGTAATGATAACGGTGGTGATGATGAAGAAAAAGCATACGAAGACAGCGGCGAAGAGCCGAAGACAAAATCATATTTATCCTTTTTTCTATGTTCTTTCAGGTTTACTATATTTGCATACCTTTCCCGGACGATGCATTATTCATCGTGATGTGAAGTCTAGCAATATTCTTTTGGATCATAGTATGTGTGCTAAGGTGGCAGACTTTGGGTTTTCTAAATATGCACCTCAAGAGGGGGATAGTGGTGCTTCTTTAGAAGTAAGAGGAACGGCTGGTTACTTGGATCCAGAGTAAGTTTAGGTATTCATATTTGTATGGTTAATATGCTTGGATCCAATTTTATTGTACATGAGCTTTTTTTCTTGTTGTATTACTTGATTATTGAGCAGGTGGTACGGCTCTTCCTATTTCTTTGCATTGCTCCCGCTTGCTTTTGTATAGCTTCTTTTTGTTCTGGCGTACTTCAGGGATGGATGAATTTCTTTCAATTTATGTTTGCTCTCTCCTTTCTGTTGTCCATGAGATTTGGTTTTGTGGAGTTCATAAATAGTTGATTTGAGAATAATTCAAAACTGATGGCTTGAAGAACATTTCTCTTTCCATTTTCATTTTTGTGAGTGCTAGTTTATTAATGTTGTTCTTATCTATTTTTTGTTGTTCTTATCTATTTTTTTTCTACATAATTTGTTATTGACTAGTTTAGGGCTCTTGATTTTGTTCAAAAAGTGATGTGTTGGACATTTGGTTTTGTGATAATTAGTTCGTTTGATCTCTTTTTTTTAGTTTGAAAATTTTATTGAAATTCTTAAATATTTACAATCATTCAATTATCAATTAAGTTTAAAGGCAATTATTCTTTATTTTATTTAAAAAAGTAGTTGTGCAATTAATTGAGAATTTATGATATGTTATTCTCAATTTTGTTTATAATATTAGTTGTTATATTAGGAAGCTCTAATCTTGAGATGTCCTACATCACGCTAAATATGAAAGATGGAAAAGTGAACTTTTGGAAGTTGATAATTTATCTCGAATTGTTGGGATTTGGCTAACGATAATTAATCAAATTTGCATTCTTCCTGTTGTGCCACAGATTTGAAAAACTCTATATTTTATCTACGTTGGATGATCGTGTATGAATTCTTAAATAATTCTTAGCATATGACTGCACCTGTTGGACTCTAGAATAACTTAAATGATGAGATTTCAATTTCTTAGCGCATAATTTTTTAGTATTTTATGGAAAATGTTATCAAATGATGTTGAAAAGAGAAGCTGAACAATTTGTTTTCTTCTTGTGCAGATATTATTCGACCCAGCAACTATCAACCAAAAGTGATGTCTTTAGCTTTGGAGTGGTTCTTTTAGAAATTGTGACTGGAAGAGAGCCACTAAATTTACATAGGCCACATAGCGAATGGAGCTTAGTTGAATGGGTATGACTAAGAACTTTGTTTACTCTCTCTATTCTACACAAAGTTAACTATATTTGTTCATTAGCTTTCTAGTAGCCCCTGTAACCTCTGGTCCTTCAACATGCCTTTATTTCTCTGATTTGAAAATTTTCTTAAAAAAAAGACTGAAGAAAATTTTAATTTGTTAATCTTGTTTAGTATTTTCATTCTCCATTCTTCGACAATGGCGCCACTCCAACGCTAACTTCCATCACCTCTTGTAAAACTTGTCCGTCCTTTTTTTTTTGTAAATATTTTTGTGAGCATAGGAAAAGCCTTAAGAATATCTTCATCTGCACCTGTAATACTATGTTGCACCGATACACCTATTTATGAAGGCGTGTTGTATCCGATACACGGATACGCCTCCGATACTCCACCGATACGTGTCGGATACGCCAAAGACGTATCCAATTAAAATACTATTTAATTTCAAAAGGACACGCGTATCCGATACACGTGTCCGTTGAAAAAACAAAAAGAAATCCGAAAAAAAAAAATGCGTCGTATTTACTTCCGCGGCTGCGAGCAAAGTTCTCTTATTTCCGAGATGGATTTGAGTCTCTTGATGATATGAGAATATTATAAATTACTAATCTTTCACTTGATGAGCCTGAATTAAAAGCTATGATATTTATTGAAGATGATACAGAAGTTCAAAGACAAACCACTGAAGAAGTTAATCATATCATTCCTTCTATTGAATAGTTGAAACTTTATGTGCTAGACAATTTATATTTATGCTTTTATTGTTGCACTAGACATTTAATACTTATATTTTGATATTATAAGCTACAAGGCTACAAATGATGTTGTTGTCATTTTTTTGTAATTTCAAATATTATGCTTTGATTGGTTTCTTAATTTTTATGTATGATTTATAAATTATGATGCCGTGTTCGCGCCGTACTCGTATCCTGTATTTTTAAGAATTGACGTGTCCCGTATCCGTATCGTGTCGTATCCGTGTCGCCGTATCCGTGTCGCCGTATTCGTATCGGTGCAACATAGCTGTAATATGAGTGCTATAAGACTGGTTCTATGGGATGAAGGGATGAATTATTCTATGCGGATGCCGAACGACGTCCAGAGCCCAATGAAAATGTGCCACGTCACCCCCTACTCGGTACCGCGGCTCGGTACTGCTCAGTACTGGATGGCGTGGCTGCACCTGATTCGTCTCTGGATGGTAAGCTGTGTCCGCACAGAATAATCTCTCGGGATGAAGCTCAGGGCAAATGATCAAGTCATCTTTATTATATTCTAGAGATCCGAAGTTGAGTAATAGAAACAGCCTCTCTGTAAACATGATAATAAAGTCTGCATACCTCAATCTCTCTTCATATCCTGCATGGTTGCAACTTCGTGCTCTAATTTTGCCGTATGTACACTATATGATGACTACTTTAATGTTCCTTTCTAGTAAACTAATTACAACTTCCGCATATCCTTATGCACCCTAATACACCATACAAATGCAGGCAAAGCCTTACATTAGGGAGCAAAGGATTGATGAGATGGTGGACCCAAAGATGAAAGGTAGCTATCATGCAGAGGCACTGTGGCGCGTGGTGGAGGCCGCATTGGCCTGCATCGAGCCCTTCTCCGCTTACCGACCTAACATCGTCGACATTGTTCGTGAGCTCGAAGATTCTCTCATTATAGAGAATAATGCGTCGGAATATATGAGGTCTATAGAAAGCTTTGGAGGCTCTAACCGTTTCCAGTATTCCATAGACAGGAAAGTTCCTGCTCTAGCTATGGCTTCCTCTGCTGAGCCTTCTGCATTTTGTCAGATCATTGCTGCTCCCCAGCCCAGGTAAGCCCCTTTGAAGCCTCATCTAAATTTCATCCGGATGATTTTTATATTTATTAGATTTATTTTGAGATGAATATTATTTTAATTTATTTATTATATTTATTATACTCGTCTCATAGTAAATTTAAAATGATTATATAAGTCATCAAGATGAAGTTTTGAAGCATTTTTATATTTATTTGGAAAATTTTGGATGTTTATAATCAGGTATTAAATTATCAATCATGATTCATTTTGTATTGGGGGAGTGACAGAGGAAGGAGGCAGTAACTTTATGCTTCATCCATTCGTAGAGAAAAAAAAAACACAACTCTTCTTGGCCTATTGGTTGAGAGCTTAGGCTTCCAACTAAGAGGTTCAAGGTTCGAGTCTATGTGTACGCGTTGTGTGTGTGAGTTTGCCTTAAATGGTCTAAATGTCTAAAAAAAATAGAGAAAAAAAAAGATGTACAGTTGCTTCTTTTGCTGATTTCTCAACCATTTTGTCGCAGCATTTGGTGCATTTTTCACCTTCAGGTAAAGTCATTGCTTTATAGATACGAAATGATTTTTTTTATTTATTGTTATTTTTATCCTTACCACTGTTTTTCTTTCCCTTTTAGGACCTAAAAAAGGTGAAATTTCAGGTGAGAATATTAAGACTTAAATTTAATCGAGGGGTGTTTATAATAATTATTTTTTAATTTTTTAAAAAAAATTGAGTGTAATATATGACTATCAATTAAAATTTATATTATATTTATTATACAAGAAATTTAATTTTAAAAAATTTATGTTGATCAAATTTAGGTGAGCAATTTTTTTTTCCTCTCAAGAATTTGTTGAAATTCAGTGCCAAACTTGATTTAAATCTATTTAGATTGATCTGCTTATCATAATTTTATTATATTGCGCTATAAATGGACCTAGCTTTATTAGGGCTTTTCATTTATCTTTTGAATGAGCTGAAGCTGTACTACAATTTTCAAATTTTTTGATATTTATTTATTTGATTTTTTTATCAAGCTAGAATTGTAATATAGTCTAGCTAATTTTATTTTTTATCTTAAATGTTTAAACATATAATTTTTAATTAATATTTCTATAATTAAGGTGGATATTATTTGCATTATTTGATGAAATTTAAATATTAGTTTAAAATAATTTAATATGAATACTTCACAGTTTGTATGATTTTTTTGTCATATTTATGTTTATAGTAATATAAATAATTCTTGAAGTGCATGAGATATGGTATAAAAATTAATGGATAAATAAATAACATAATATCAAATAAACAAATAAATCATATGAAGAATTTTATCAAAATAAATTTAGTAAATTGTTTATTATGTAACAAATGTTCATCTTTATAAAACAAATTAATAAATTTTAAAATTGCTCATTTATATGATGTGGTTTTAACATTTCATTTAAATTTATTTAATAATATAAATAAATAAATTTCCTTTTTTAATGTGAAGTTCCTATAGGAGAGGAGCTACATGTAGTAATTTTGTTCTTCGCGGTGGCTAATGGAGGTCAGACTGAGTTAGGCCAATTTAGATTTGATTGAATTAAAAGATGGATGGATATAAAATCTGAAATTGTAGCTGAACCTTCTTTGCGTAGAATCTCTATATCTAAAATATTTAATATCGTAGTATTTTAAATTATATTAAAATATGTAATGTTATGCAATCATTTTCTTATCAAGATTTGATTAGAAAATATTAAAATGATATTTCTTTATAAGATTTAAATAAAAATTTGATATTTAACATAACACAATGAAGAAAAATGATTCATATAACTGACAATCATATAGTGGGATAAAAACTTGATATTCTTATCTATGACTCCCACGTAGACGTAGTAGTGCTGGCTCTCCTCCATTCTCTCTCTCTCTCTCCAGTCGTCGGCCCTGGCTCTCTCTTCCTCTCCCGCATACCACTTTAGTCTCACGCAACAAACATTGTATTTTGTGAACAAAGAGTATCCATTCGAATAGGACAGTTGCCACCAAGTCCGGATTGGCTCCCACTTCAACTGCATCATTTGCTACTTTCACCTCCAAACTCACAATGCAATTACTAGCTACACTGTCATCGCTCTATGCTAGGGGTGTCAATTTTGGGTCACGGGTCGGGTTCGGGTCAAACCCGGAACTGATTCGGCACCATTCAGGTCAGCCCGAACCCGGCCCGTTTTTGCAAACGGGTCAATTTTTCGGACCTGAACTCGATCCGCTTAGCCTTCAAGTCAACGCAACTTGACCCATTATCCACTGAAACACCGGCAATTGATCGTCAGCTACGGATCAACGGCCGGCACACATTTAGCCTTCAGCTGCGGACAACAAGAATCGAAGCAGTCGGCAACGCCGCAGTGGGACGCGGTGGGCAGACGGGCAGCGGCGCGGTGGGCAGGTGGGCAGCGGCGCGGTGGGCAATTCTGCGGCGGGCAAGCGGGTAGCTGCGCGACGGGCAGACAGTGACAGTCGCGACTCGTGAACCGAGATTGGGATAACGTCACAACAGGTGTCACAACGCGCGACATGCGGACTCAGGATTGTCCTCGGGAGGGCAGCAGGTCATTACCGGGTTTTCGGGCCAACCCGAGCCTGACCCGATTTTGCAAATATGTCAAAAACCTTAGCCCGAACCCGACCCAATTAACACGAATCCGAAATTTTCGGATCAAGTTCGAGTCAGATTTTTAGATCGTGTCCAATATTGACACCCCTACTCTAAGCCACCCTTTCTACCCAAAAGCAATTTTCAATTCCTCACCCTCCTAGAGGCTCCCTTGCAATGCTTGTGGCCAAGATACCACTGTAGCAAAACCGGGTATGACCTCCAACATTGTTGTGCACTCTCATGTCACGTTCTCGATGTCGACGGCGGCCTCGTCTCCACCTACACCACAAAGCGTCGGCGATCTGTGACAAGTGTTTTAGATGGAAGGAAAGGTATTTAAGTGGTAGATAAGTAAATAGTAAATTTTAGATATTAATATGTAATTAGAATAATTTTAAGTGTTATGTAGGTAAAAACTCCTTTACAAAAACTAAAGGTTTCACAGAGATAAATTTGCTTGTTCCTTATTTAAAAGTCCTTTCAACAGAAACTAAGAAAAAGGAAATGATATCAAGCTACACAAAATCAGTCAACAGAATTAGTCATTGGACTTGTGTTCTAAGCCGAAACAATCCGCAACCAGGAGTTTCTTAGGCGGAGGGATGATGGGGATTCTCTTGCGATTGGACGGAGATTTTAGCTACCATGGTAGGCAGGCGGGGCAGCGTGACGAAAGTGACAGCGGTGTCCGTAAGGGCAGCCACCGCCGCTGCTGAGCATGCGGCAAAACTGCGTTTTGTACCGCGGGTGCCGAATAACAGGGCGAAGTTCCTCTAAGCCGTGAGCGAACTGGCAACGCTCCGCATATGGACATATACCCATCTCCCCCCATTTGTTGCACAGCTCTGTCTTTGTCGTTCCCTGGCTATACGCCTCCACTTCCACCTCCTCATTATCCTCCAGATTTAAAATAATTTTTTCCACGAAAACCGAGTAAAACATCCATCAGTGACCTAATTAGACAATTGGACAGAAAGGGGAACGAGGATTGATGATTTACACTGGCTTACCTGTATCGACGATGCAACCGGAAGCCGCAGACGGAGGGGTTGGATAGTGCGGGTGGAGCTCATTCCTCTACCGCGAGGCGATAGATGTCTTCCTGCCAGAAACCCGGCTGAGCGAATCGAGATGCACTTCGGCAGAATGTTGCGCGTGGGATCTGGAATGCATTCCACTGTATCCGACTCCAGATTCGCAGGCTGGAGCTTCCCGTCGAATCCGGTCACGATGGTGGAAGAGGCGGGAAGGATTTCCGTGATGGGGGAAGCAGAGGAGCTCTCCTTCTCCTGGATTAGGGATAAGAGTTTGAGATTTTCGGCGGAGAGCAAGAGGTGCTCCTTTCTGAGAGAATCAACATGGAGGATTGTGTGATGGAGCTGCCAGAAGGCATCGTTATAGCTTTCGATCAGACGCTGTAGTTCCAGGATCATGAATTGCTTCTGCGACTCAAACTGGTCGCCGGAGTTTGCGGAGAAGGCCATGGCTGGTAACGGCAAGGACGATTCACCGCCTTCAAATTATTATGGGACAAGGGTTTTTAAAGAATTAGATAACGAATTTGATGAATCAAGGGTCGTAGATCAGTGATCGTGGGTTTCTTTGAGAATCGGGAGGGATCAACAATCAGGAATGCCGGATAATTCGTTTAATGAAACGTAATCTATCATAGTTGCGCGAAGGAGATAAGAACAACAACAGAATTGAGGTAGAAATGAAGCTCCGCCATGGCGGAAGAGCTGAGGAAAGCTTACCTCCTTGTTAGGGGGAGAGCAGACTCGGCAGGAGGATCTTTTGGAATGGGAGGAGAGAAGATCGATTTCGGGATAGGCCTATGCCATATTTATAGTTGGCGCCATCGCGCAGAATATGATTTTCGGCTAAATTTTATAATATTTGGAAAATATGAATTATCAATCTATTATTCAAACATTTAACATGTTTTATTTTTAAATTCGAATGTAAAAGATTATTTGAATTATTCAATTTTAAATTAATTTATAATAGAAACAAGAGTGACTACAATTCTAACATTTATATCATTATTTTTTAGACAAAATTAAATATTAAGTATTGTGAAAGCATTAACTTTCGGCTATCTTTTAAATTGTCTATCATTCGATTATAATCTCTCAAACATTATCATCCAACAATTGTTATTATACTATGTACTTCGTCACTTGATTATAACATCTCAATCATTTTTATCTGTCTATAATCTCTCAACCATTGTCATCAGCCAACTACATCGTTGATCTCCCAATTCATCGACAATAATGTTCATCGACGTATTCGCCTATAAGATTGATGCACATCATTGATAAACACCATCATTTATAAGGCTCAGTTGATACATGCTATTGCTTGTAAGATTGATGTATATCATTAGCACTAAGTCCAATAAATTTTGACATCATCATATGATCCTACTCATAATTTCAATGATCGTCATCACAAAAAAGGCCTTTGTAGCCATCAATGGTGCCTTCATAGTTCAACACTTCGACATAAAATTTATGTTACTCTTCACAGAGAACAATCAAACATAATAAAAAAAATTTCAGAACAACTTCAATGCAGCAAGGATCCTTTAACTGAAATCAGTCATTCACCGTCATATCTATTACATTGTATTAATACCTTTCTCAGTTGTGAAGAAATATATCGGTTCTAACATGCGTGAAATTATTTTAGTTGGATATGGCCTGATTTTTTTTTTAGTTTTTTTATGTAAAAATTCTTATATTATTTATGAGCATATTGTCTAATTTATTTATTAATGTGTGATAAATTTTTATATAAAATTAAAGTATTTATATGAAATTAAAGTGTTAAATATTTTCTCTCGAAAGCTCAACAAATTTTATACAAAAGAAAAGTTATAATTTTCAAATAAGTGAGCACTTCAAATTAAAATTATCGATTCATATAATATATAATTTATATCATATTATTACGCATGCATCCTCAGCCAGACTGCAAGTAAAGGTTTAAGAATTATGTTACTTAAAATTTATTATTGCGTTGAAAGGACAAAAAAGTAATTTGCTTAAAACTTTCGGGATTTGGCCCTAAAACCTACTGATGAGCGTCTTTAAATACTTCGAATGTGATTATGCCTCAACAAATATCTCCGCTACTTCGCCTTTCACTAGCGACTCCTTCCTTCCCTTCCTTTTTTTTCATCTCTCTCTCTTCCCCCATCTCTCTGTTTTTCCCTTAGACAATGACGGCGATCGAGGATTATGACAATTTCCGCCAGTAAGTTGGCGGTTCTCGGCCGGAAAACGTCGATCTCACTCCTTGTTCCGGTCGGCCTTGTCTTTGGCAAATGCATTCAATGGTATGAAAAGCATCAATGTCTCTCCCTACAGCTATCTGAGGTAAGCAATCGCTCATCAATCAAGCGAAAATCTCAAATCCCTCCATTATTAGATGTTTTTTTTTTTTTTTTTTGGGACAACCATTATTAGATGTTTATGCTATCGGGATTTGAGATCGTTGATGGATCTGACGCTACTTGTTGGGGATTGAGGTTTATCAATTTATGATATGTTGTCGGTTTAAGTTGCTGTGAATGACAAAGGGTATGGAAAATTTCGGACGACATAATTTATGAGTGTTAGGATGATGTTTCTGGCGACGGGGAGACGATATGCTCTGCTTTTCTCCCTATTCTCAAGGGTCAATTCCAGGGGCGAGATGAGATCTAGATTTGCTTGGAGAGCGGTGAGTATTTTTGTTTGGTGATTTTCTCTTAGGTTGTTGAAGAATGTTTCGCCTGTTGCTGGAGAAGGCGAAGGCCGTAGTTCGATTACCAATTCTTGTTCGTTTACCAATTCGAATCCCGCCTATCAATCAAATCTGAGCGGTAGTTTAAATGTTATATTTCGATTTGATTGTTATTTTGTAAACCGATCAAATCTTGAGCTTATCCGACCGGCCTCGAGATCCCTATTAAAGTCGATCTAGTCTCGGAGTCAAGTTTAGTTATAATTAGGGTGGCTTATCTGATCTGATTAAGGCATCTCATAAACTTCAATGCTAATCAGTTGTAGAAAAGAAAATTAATTCAACCGAAATTGATCCGATCATCAGTCAGTTCTATTATGAAACTTTTTGGATGTTTGGAAAATGGGGTTGGAGAATTCGTAGTCAGCGGTAGGCTTGTTGAACTCTGTGTTTTTTTTTTTTATTTTCTGAACATTTAGGATCAATTAAGATAAATTCATACACATAATATATGTTTTAAATTCAAGACATGTTGATTGATAGTCAAAACTCTCAATTAACAAACCAGCTAGCGAGAGTTGTATTCATTGTTCTCAATGTGTCAAGTACTCTCAGCCATCAGCTTATCTTAATTCATACAAGGAGTTTTCAATATCAACTAAAAGGTTTTGGGTTTGAATTTTATGTATATGATGTGTGTGCGAGATTGTCTTAATTGATCTTAATGTAAAAAAAAAAAGTACTCTCAGCCTGTCAATCGTCTTCTCTTTCCCCTAGTTCAACCATAATCCTAGTTGAAAAAGACGAAAATATCAATGAATCCGGATGAAATCAAAAAGTTAGGGAAAAGAAAATTTCCATCATTGGAGCAACGGAATGCAATTTCTTTTCTCGGACGAGATAGCGCTTGGTTGATTTAAATAGCTTTATTGATTGGACAAGTGTACTTATTTGATTGGCTGAACCATTGCAATGGAGTGTTTAGATGGCAGCTGGCCTGATGTCCTTAAGAGGGGGATTGATTGGATGATTCTGCCATTGGGTGATTCAGGCTCGCTTTTGGCTTAGCTTTTCTAGAGGTTTTGGGAACCTTTACTGACTGCCTAATGGACTGATGGACTGAGCCTATGAACAATTTTTTTTTTTTTTTTTTCATAAGATGCTATGATGCAAGCCTTCAGTTCTTGTATTTCATCGATCTGAATGATTTAATTTACAAATTAATTTAATCACTGATTTTGATTATAAAATATTAAAAACTCGAATGATTCAAATTATTTTTTAAATCAAACTAAGCCAAAACAAACATTAGTTCTATTAATTTTGTTCGATATTTTATGAACTAAAATATCATTTAATTTGAACAATAAACTGAATTAAATTAGCTTAACTAGTATGTATTAAGAAAGATAATAAGTAATTTATGGTAAATTAATAACTTTAGCATGTGAAGTAATATTCATGAAAAACTGTGTCATTTAATTATTTATAATTTATGGGCTTTAATTGATTTAGGGTTTAAAAATTTAGTGTAATTTCATTTTCTGATTTTATCATTTTTATAAAAGCAAAAATCAAATCAATAACCCAAAATAGAAAGTCAAAATTATGACTAATATTCAAATGGATCCTTTAACAATCAAATCAAACAAAAAATAATAGGTGTTTGTAAAAAGCTATTTTAAAAGATTATACAAAATCTTTTTGCCAGCAATGATGCTGATGTGGGTGAGTAGATAGCCGTCGCATTTCTCTTTGCGTCGTGGTCTCTCTCCAATCAGCTTGGTGCGTGTTAATACTTCTCTCATCGTTGTATTGAATGAGCAATTTGGTCAATCCGAGGGTGGCATTCTTTGTATATAGATATTCCTCATCATAAACCTCGACGGGTTGGTAGCAAGCTAGGTCTGGATATTTCAAACTTCCTCGTTGCTCTTTGTATTTTTTATCTTATAAATTCCAATATTGTCCTGCACTCAAGAGTTTCATTTGATCTAATCTCAATATCATTGGAGTCAAATTTGTCCGTAAATAACATCCATTTGTTCTAATAAGCCCCCTCTTAGATGAGAACCTGAGAATTAGGGGTACAACAACAACAACAACATCAAGTCTTTATCCCATTACGTGAGGTCGGCTACATGAATTCTTTTTCTCCATTGTGTTCTATTAAAGATCAAATTCTTGAGAATTAGGAGTGAGTGTGAAAATTGTTTAAGGCAAGAAAGCTAAAAGCACTAGTGCTAAAAAATTTCCAGGTATCAAAAGATCCAAAAGATGCCTCTTCAACCTTAATTTATAGTGATTCTAGAGCAACATGAAAAGCTATATAAAATATTAAAGGGTAAGAAGTACATGAATAATATGCATGTCTCAATACATACTATACATGATACCTGTTGTGCATGATGGGTTTTTCGCATGGTCTTTCATTTTTTGCTTGAATCTCAATTTTAGGGTGAGTCTCCTGAGCTAGTTTGCATGAGTTCGTTCCTGGAATAGATTGTGTAGGATGAGCTCATGTGGCATGTCCTTTGCTTGTGAAGCATACTTATGTCCTCTATAAGTGTTCATTCTTGAACTGTATTAATCTTAGCACGAATTTAAGGCCTATAAAATGCATCATGATTCATGAGATAAGGGATTTATGCATTAATTTTAATATAAACCAAAGCACTATGAAGTTCATTTGATAAAAAAAAAAAAATGTATCAAAATATTCTCAGGCAAAATATTTTCCGCAAACATTATTTAGGAAGCAATTGCTTTGTAAATGCTTTCAATAAGTAGTCAAAATAATTTAGCTTTAACAAACAACATGAATCAAATTGAAATATATGAGAAAAATAATATCGTCATTTTTTAAAGATACTTTAGTATTAGAGTACATTTTAGTTCATAATTTATACCAAGAGTTCCAACGATCAAAATATAATTAATAGAAAAATTAAAATTTTACTTGAGAATTTTTGGGAAATACTTTGTTTTTTTTTAACAATTCACGACCAACCCTTAATGAAAAATAACAAATAACTGTTCAGTTTCTCCTCAATCAAAAGACTAGTGGGGTAAATAAAATTCATTTTAATTCATCCATCATTTCTTTTTACGTACTTTCTTCTGAATTCCTCACACCAAAGGGAGTCCATGCTTCACATTTGTTTCTTCATTGATGCTTGGATTTTCTTGCTCTCTCCCTCTCCTCTCTCATGCCTTGCTAGTTAAATAACGTGGTTGAAGCTCTGTTTTATGGCTGGATCATCATCCAAGCAAAATATGTCTATTTTTTATTGAAGTAATTTCAGCATTTCTGTAATCTAATCACATCATATGTAATATTTAAATTTATACACACATCATATGTAATATTTAAATTTAAGACATCTTCATTGATAGTCAAAGTTCTCAAGTAAAAGATGAGCTGTGTAATATGATGAAAATATACGTGGTAGAAAAAGCGGTTAGCAAAAGAATAAATCGGATGAAAACAATTCCTAAAATATTGTTCAGGAAATAAATATAAGATGATTTTGGGAGATCGAAATAGAAAATGCACGTGGTTTAAAAATTGGTTTTATGAAAGCTCTGATAGAAGGGCTTAAATATCTGCAATTATGAGATTAATCTCTCACGTGAGACATTTCATTATGTATGAAATACAGAGTGTACCATTGTTGATATTTCTCTACTCTAATATTGATCGATATTATTTTGCTTGCGAAAATAGCTCGACCGGTTGGTGGATATGAAATTCCATATATATTTCTTTGGATGGTACTATCACTTTTTTTAAAAAATTATTGTAAAAGGCATTTAAGAGATTGATAATTTTAGAGTGGTCAAGATATGGAGTAAGCAATTGTTCCGGCCAGCTAATCAGAGTTGAAAATATGCTATTAGGCTTAAATTTAAAATTATATATATTTAACAACATTAAACATATTTTTAAAAGAAACAATTTTTACAATAACTGAAAAATTGAGTTCCATCATTATATTTAAAGTTTCAAATCCCTCACAATTATTATTAATGCAATTATCAACGGAGAAAATTTAGATTAAGATATAAAATAAATTTAATGAAATTAAAACCTATTCACAAATTTAGATGTTTATCAATTAGGAGTGATGCAATTGTATTTAAAAATTATAGAGTAAAATAAATTTGTTTCAAAATTATATTTTCTTTTTCATTTTAAAAACCAGATAATTCAACCTCTACCACAATTAAGTATATTTAGCTATGCCTGCATAGGATTGTAATTGTTAAACGTACTCTTAAGCACCAATAATCGAGAGTTCGTTACACTCCATTTTAAATTATTTTGAATAATTTCTATCAATATCAAGTATCACAAGATATTCAATATGAAGTCTAGTTGCCGTTATCATTCCTATATCTATTTGGAAATCGCTAATAGTCATAGCAAAGGAAATCTGCTTGCATCCTCCCACACAACACAATCAAAGCAAAACAACTCATTCAAAACAAAACAATTCTATTTTATATTAGTTCTTCAAAATGTCTTTGCGCTACAACATTTTCCTTTTTAATACGACATGCCTCTGCTCGTTTTATAATAGGGAAAGCTAATAATACTAATAAAAAAGCTAGGGCATAAAATTTAGGCCAAATTTTATAAAAAAGCAAGGTAATGATCAAAATTAGGAGCATAGATTCAAAAAAAATAATTAATTAGGAGAAAATATGCTAATTAAATGGTGTATTTCAGAATAAACCTAATTATTTAATGCACTGAGAATACACCATTTAATTTGGCATATTTCCCTAAGCAATAAAGAGAAAAGAAACGAAGAGAGAGATAGCAGCGGAGAAAAAAAGGGGAGAAAAGAGAGAATTTAAATATTAATTTAAAATAACTTATAAGTTTTAGGTTTATATTTTTAAAATAAATATAATATAAATTAAATAATTGATTATATTATTTTAAATATTAAATTAAATATTTAAATTTAGATTTTAAATAACAAATAAATATTAAATTAGTATTTTAAATTATTTAAATATTAAAATAATGTTTTATTATAAAAACACATAAATTTAAAAATGTAAAATTTATTATTAAAATTCTCTCGCCCCTCTCTCTCCCCTTCTACTTGATCTCCGTTGCCATCTCTCTCCTCTCGCCATTGTGACGTTGTCACCTCTCTTCTTTTCTCTCACCTCTCTCTCTCTCCCCCTTCTCACTCTGCCAAAGAATTAGACATATTCTGAAATACGCTATTAATTAATATTTTTTAATATATGCTCCTACTAATTTTAATCATTACCTTGTTTCTTTATAAAATTTGGACTAAAATTTACACTCCTAAACTTCTTGAAAGTTCCTTGAGAAACATTTTCAACACAAAATAAAAAGAGCTCCTCAAGTTAAGAGCTGCTCAACCGCTCTTCATCTAATGCTATATTGGAAAGCTACCTTTTGACACATTTTCCACTTGGGCAAAAAGTGCAATCAATTTGCTGTAAATATGAAGAAACAAGCCATCAGCAAGTAGGAAGAAGCTGTTCAGTATTATCGTTTGTTGAATATAAAATATTTCATCCGGAGTTTATCAGACACTAATTTTGGTGATGAAAAATAAACTGCGGCTTCTCAGAATCTAGGTTTCGCTTGAATATAATAATAAAAGTGATCAGATGCGGGTTCAGTTTATGAATAAAAAATATGAGAAGATGAACTTAGAAGCACACTTACAGTTGAAAGTATACTGAGGCTCCGTAGTAGGGACAGGTAGCTGGGATAGATCTCTCATATTCATCTGAAAGCCAAAGTTTTATTGAAGAAAAATTTATTAAACTGAAACTTTAAAAGGATCGGATACAAGACCTAAATTTGATCACGATAGATTTTTCGGCCATTAAATATATTTTAAGATAAACATAATACATACTGAATTAGCAAGCTCGAATATTATACTAATTTAAAATAAATTTAATTGCCAAAAAATTCAGCATAATCAAATTTAGCTTATGTAACCAAGTTTCTGATACTCTACCTTAAACTGGAAGACACCATAAATATCTGGCCCTTCAATATGCTACTCCACCAAACTACTCTTTCGGCCCTTCAATATGCTAATCGTAAGTGTTGGGCTGGAGGCTTATTAGTAGTTTGGTTCCAAAAGCAATCAAAAGTGAGCATATCTAACTATATAAGCAAAAGTCGTACACACAACACATGCACAAAGACTCGAACTCAAGATCTCTTAGTTGGAAGCCTATGCTCTCAACCAACAGGCCAAGATGAGCTGTGTACTAAATTGAATTTATGAATTCAAGAAATTTACTTCATTTAAAGCTGTTATAAGAAATCTTTCCAATTTTTATAAATTAGAACACAATATTACTTTGTTCATTAATCAGCTCATATAAGAAATCTTTCCAATTTTTATAAATAATCAAACCAAGTTTTTATGTAAAAATTGCTTTCATCGGAAAGTATTTCCCACATTAAAGTACAGCAATCAACTATGAGATACAAATAGCTGTAATCTATCATTCTAATCTTAAAATCCCATGGTAAAATCAATAAACTATTTTTTTCCAACTATAATATGGTCATAGATGGCCAAATATGAGATGCACTTAAAACACAGATCCCAATTTATTCGTGAAGATTGGCATGATTCCTTTCAAATGCCTGTTCAACTTTAAAATTGGTTTAATTGATTCAGAAATGCGTGACTCAGACCTAGAGACAAAAGAAAATGAATGAATGGCTCCTTCGAATATTTTCAACATATGAAGCACCAACAAGAACTATAATATGCATAAGCTGTGAAAACGCACATATCATCTCTTCACAAACCCCTGACAATGAAACCTCCATGAACCAGAACAAAGCTAAAAAAAATACAGCAAACAATCTTGTATGGAAACATTAAAGATAAGATAACTGCAGCTCAGATGATGAAACAATCTAGTATGGAAACTCTAAAGGCAAGATAACTACAGCTCAGATGACGAAACAATTAAAAAGGAAAGGAAAGCAAATAAACTCACCTCTATCTTCTTCTCCCCCAAAATAACATCAGATTGCAAGAAATCATCAGCTATCTATCTCGGAAACAGCATATCCAGTTTGATCGATAGCAGCGGCCTTCGGATCCTGAATCAGGAAACGACGTCAATCAACCATAAATCAATAAGCAACAAAAAACCCCATCCCCCGCGCCAAAAAACAAAAAAACTCGCACTCGCGTCACCAAAATAAACGCCAGATTCCTCTGCGACGACCCTCGATCAAATCTGACGCGAAAGAATCCGCAGAAAGTATCAGACCGTGCCCTGCATCCACGAAGTCTAGCAACGCGGCCTGGTCCAAAGAACCCCCGAAACCTAACGACCCAAACAGATCTCAGCCTAGATCGGAAAAATAAATAATCAAAACGAAATGTACCCGCCAACTTACTAGGAATTTACGCTGAACAGAGGGAGAGAAGATTACGGCTCCATCGTAGATGAAATGTCCATATCGCAGGAGGGAAACCTTATTCATCGGCGGGGAGAAAGTCGAGATCGTACACCCGGAAGTAGAGGGAGTTGAAGAAGAGGGAATGAGAGGATCTAACGGAGAAATCATCGACGAGGACGGCAAGGCGGAGATCCGTGGAGCTTTCGGCAGAGAAGGTTTCGTAGAAAAGCAGAAGCACGAAGAGGAAGAAGGCGGAGAAGATCCACGAGGCTTTGGGGTTTCTCCACGCCCGCCAGCTATGGTGGGGAATTATATAGACGGGGTTTTATACTTTTATTTATTTTAAAAAGAGAAAAGAAATAATTTTAATAATAACCAACTATTTAGTGAGAATAAAAAAAATCACACGGAAGGGCACTCTTTTATTTATATGAATTAATTAAATTGTATGTAATTAAAAATTTTATTAATTATTTAATTATGATAATAACATTAATGAGATTAACTACATAATATAATTAAAAATGAATATCATTCCTCACTGAGCTATGCACAAATTGAACTAATATTTTCTTCTGCAATCAAATAAATATCATTTGATTATTATTTCCGAAGTAATAACAAATTAACAATCACTATTGTATACTGGAAAGATCAAGCAAGATTGCAAACTACCACTTTGCAAAAATTTATTTCACCAAAATAATAAATAATATGTGCAAGTCTCTAAATAAGAATCTACACAATCTCATGAATAAGATAAATGCAAAAATATAAATCAACCACAAGAATAAAAATACAAAAATTTACATGATTCAATACTTTTAGGTCTATATCTACGCAAAGGAATTTTTATTAGGTCCGGACACCTGACGTAGCTCTACATTCGGACGCCAATAAAATGTCGCCACGTGCTCCTACTCTTTACTGCGCGGGCCGACGACCCGACCTGGACCGGAACCCAATATTGCTATGTGTTAGCTGATTTGTACAGACCATGACATTGCTAGGTTTTGCTCGGTATTGCTCGATAACGAGAAATATCATTCTGTCAAAACCAATACCGAGCAATACCTAGCAAAACTGGGGTATTGCTCAGTATTGCTCGGTATTGCTAGGTATTACTCGCCTACTCGGTATTACTAGGTATTAGTCTTGACAGAGCGGTATTTCTTGTTATTGTCAAGCAATACCTAGCAATACCGAGTAATACCTAGCAATACCAAGCAATACCTAGAAATACACAAACATAGCAATACCGGGTGTCCGTTCGGGGTCGGGTCGTCGGGCTGCGCGGTAAAAAGTAAGAGCACGTTGTGACATTTTATTGGCGTTCGGATGTAGAGCTACGTCAGGTGTCCGTACATAATAAAAATTCCAAAGCAAGAGGAGACATCATATATAGTCATGTTATAAAACTAAGAAATTAAACAATCCCTCTATCGGTCAACACAAATTTTTTAGCACTTAACAATGAGTATGTTGTATTCTATTTGCATGTATTTTGAGCATTTCATATTTAGTTTAAAATAAAGGGGTTATTTTAAGCACCTTAAACAGCATTTTTTCCCTCCAATTGGAAATCGCCTAAATCCATTGATTTATAAATCCCGTGTTTTGTGTCTCCACACTCATTTAAAATATTTTTGAGAGTTCTCTGCATAGTTGTTAATTTCTTAGTTAACATAATGTAATAATATGCGTTTATACATACCATATATAATAGGAGAGATTAAATGATATTCGCTTGATTATATTTATGTATACATAAAATATATAGCTAAAAAATCTCAACTAGCTCAGTGAAAAAACAATTAATATAGTTTCTTATATATCTTTTCTTTGTAATCCTTTTAATAAAAGCGAATAATAATTATATATAAGTGTATAATTAAGATTGAAATTAATATTATCAACATATCCAAAAGTATCTCAACCACTCTTGGCATGTTAATAAAATGTAATAATTTGTATTTATACATACCATTTCTAGCTACCAGAAGAGATTAAATGATATCAACACATGGCTTCCATATATATCATGTTTCTCATATATATATATATAGCATCAAAATTCTATTGAAAAATCATTCAATAAATAAAATAACTTTCACAAGCATTAATTTGATTCACAATTGTTTCTTCTCTTTAAAGCTTATTTATTTCTTCACACCTTGAATACCAATGTGTTGCAATTTTAACTTTTAATTTTTTGTTGATGACTTGATTATTATGTTCATCAATATGATATCATATTATCATGTCATCCTAAAAGAATCTTATTGGTGATTTAAGTCATTTTTTGCATCTTTTTATCGAAGATTAATTGTTTGTTGATGATATTAGAAACCTACCCTAGTTAGGGTTTAGGGTTAATTCTCAGTATAACTAAACTTGACTTTCTATATATTGATAATGATGGATTCTCATTATAACAAAATTCCAGGTCAAGTTTAATTATAATGAGAATTATGTCTTATGGAAAGTCATATTTTATTTGCCCTGAAATTCATCATTATCAATATATAACAAACATAGAAGCATTCATTGAATCGATGCCTTCAAGATTGTGAGGATTTAAATATTCGGACATTCGCTGCGCGTTAGGGTTTCGTCTCCTCAAAAGCCCGTCTAGAACCCCTTAGGGTTTTTCGTTCAGGGGGCTTTTGCCCCTTCTTCCTGGAGATGATGGCTGGAGAATCTTCTGCTTTTCCCCCTCTTCAATCTGGATCGCATCATGATCCATCTTCATCAATTGCTCCGGCTCCTTGGACTACATAGGAAAAACCTCATTTGATCGGTTTCAATATAACATTTCAATTACCGCTCAAATTTTATTGATAGGCAGGATTTGACTTGGTAACCGAATATTTAAATCCTCACAATCTCGAAGGCATCGATTCAATGAACGCTTATGTGTTTGTTATATATTGATAATGATGGATTCCAGGCCAAATAAAATATGACTTTCCATAAGACATAATTCTCATTATAACTAAACTTGACCTGGAATTTTGTTATAATGAGAATCCATCATTATCAATATATAGAAAGTCAAGTTTAGATATACTGAGAATTATGTCTAACAGAAAGTCGTATTTTATTTGGCCTGGAATCCATCATTATCAATGTATAACAAACATAGAAGCGTTTATTGAATCGATGCCTTCAAGATTGTGAGGATTTAAATATTCGGACATTCGCTGCGCGTTAGGGTTTCGTCTCCTCGAAAGCCCTTCTAGTAGCCCTTAGGGTTTTTCGTTCAGGGGGCTTTTGCCCCTTCTTCCTGGGGATGATGGCTGGAGAATCTTCTGATTTTCCCCCTCTTCAATATGGATCGCATCATGATCCATCTTCATCAATTGCTCCGGCTCCTTGGACGACATAGGAAAAACCTCATTTGATCAGTTTCAATATAACATTTCAATTACCACTCAAATTTGATTGATAGGCGGGATTTGAATTGGTAATCGAATATTTAAATCCTCACAATCTCGAAGGCATCGATTCAATGAACGCTTATGTGTTTGTTATACATTGATAATGATGGATTCCAGGCCAAATAAAATATGACTTTCCATAAGACATAATTCTCATTATAACTAAACTTGACCTGGAATTTTGTTATAATGAGAATCCATCATTCTCAATATATAGAAAGTCAAGTTTAGTTATACTGAGAATTATGTCTTACAGAAAGTCGTATTTTATTTGGCCTGGAATCCATCATTATCAATATATAACAAACATAGAAGCGTTCATTGAATCGATGCCTTCAAGATTGTGACGATTTAAATATTCGAACATTCGTTGCGCGTTAGGGTTTCGTCTCCTCGAAAGCCCTTCTAGCAGCCCTTAGGGTTTTTCGTTCAGGGGGCTTTTGCCCCTTCTTCCTGGGGATGATGGCTGGAGAATCTTCTGATTTTCCCCATCTTCAATCATGATCCATCTTCATCAATTGCTCCGGCTCCTTGGACAACATAGGAAAAACCTCATTTGATCGGTTTCAATATAACATTTCAATTACCGCTCAAATTTGATTGATAGGTGGGATTCGAATTGGTAATCGAACTACGGCCTTTGCCTTATCCAGCAACAGGCAGAACATTCTTCAACAATCTAAGAGAAAATCACCAAACAAAAATATTCACCGCTCTCCAAGCAAATCTAGATCCCATATCATCTCTAGAATTGACCCTCTAGATCGTCTCCTCGTCGCCGGACTCATCGTCCTTACACTCGTAAATCATCACGTCCAAAATTTTCCATGCGTTGAGTCATTCACAACAACTTAAACCGACAACATATCATAAATTAATAAACCGCAATCCCCTACAAGTAGCGCATGATCCATCACCGTTCTCAAATCCTGATAGCATAAACACCTAATAATGCCAGGGATTTGAGATTTTCGCTTGATTGATGAGCGATTGCTTACCTCAAATAGTTATAGGGATAGACATTGATGTTTTTCATACCGTTGAATGCATTTGCCAAATATAAGGCTGACCGAAACAAGGAGAGAGATCGACATTTTTCCGGCCGAGAACCGCCAACTTACTGACGGAGACTGCCATAATCCTCGATCGCCGTCAATGTCTAAGGGAAAAACAGATAGACAAGGGGGTAGAGAGAGTGAGATAGAGAGAGATGATAAAAGGATTGGAAGGAAGGAGTTGCTAGTGAAAGGTGAG